TACAGAAAAAGAAACAAAGTAAACTTTGTAAATTCAGAATCACCCGGTTTTCTACTATGATTTCAAACTGCAGGATGTACAGCCTGTCCCACCAAACTCACAAACAAGCAGACGCAGATAACTGGACAGAAGCTACCACCGTCTATTAAATGTTGTGTCAACACTGATACTATCTATTTGTTTGTCTTCATGTGAAGTCCACAGAAAACCAATATCCTGAAGTGTCAGAGAACAAACAAATGCAACTGTAGGTCAACGATTAAATATCCACTGTCCTCATTCCTTAAGCAGCATTAAGGAACTCAAGGTGATCACCTCCTTAGTGTTTCTTTATTATATGGGGACAGAACAGTGACGGCTGTGACTCCACAACCCCTCTCAAGGTAACTCTTAGGATGGAAACTATAAAGCTGTGACTCTTCTTCCTTATTCTTTACCCCCCTTTTTGGTTTAGCACAGGCTGACACAGACCCTCAATACCACTCGCAGATGTACTTCACATATACTCACTGCAGCCTGGTACTAGTTTAAGCTCCCATGACCAGATTAGTTCCAAGAAGTACACCTGAATTTGCCAACTTCACATGTGGAAAAACATTTATGAGGGAAATAGAATCTTGTAGAAAATTCCAGAGGTGGGAAGGACCTGCTGGCAATCCTGAAGAATATAAGTCCAGGAAAGGAAAACAAGTGTCTCCCATGAGACCAAGCACTATCTGAGAACTTTCATAGTTAATAGATACCAGCTGAGTTTTGGCTTAAATTTCTCACTGCATAACCTTTGTTCAATTACCCTTTATTTTTACTGAGCTTTTTTCTAAGACACTCATCTTTTCCAAGGATGTAAAATGAGTTAAACTCAGATTTGCTGCTTATCTACAGATGAATACTCGGAGCATACACAGGCAGGAGGAGAGATCTGCTCTGCTGCAAACCCAAATGACAACATTCCATTGATTTAAACTGACTGACAGCACAGCAGGGAAATACACAGGAACTAAAAATAAAGCTAAAAAGGTGTTTTAATGCTTTTTTATGCTGCTAAGTTTTAAAGCAATCCATGAAATGAAAATGAATACAAACCAGCACAATGTATTCCTGTAAGCTTCTGATAACTAGCACAATCCCTTCACCGGCATGTTTGTTTCCAGGGGAGTGTGTCAAATGAAAGAAGACTCTGTTTTCAGCCTAGCATGCCAAATGAATGAAAATTCTGCTGTCTCATGCTTGAGAACCAAAAAAAAGTATTCTCCTCAGCATATGTGCACAATTATATGGGTTTAGGTTTTCTTGAACAACAGTATCTATGTATATTTTCTTTTTCTTCCTTTCAACCATTTTACCTTCTGCATTTTTTCAGAAACTGATTACTTAGGGGAAAATTAGATTGTCCAAGAGAATAGTGTCATGTACAACCGTAAGTTTATATTTTGACATAAACTTTGTCTCAGAGATGCAGAGAAAACTCATAAATTCTCAACAGTTTTAAAATTACTCTTCAAATTCACAATGGATAGAGGCTACCAAACAACACCTAGGACAACTCAAGCCAATATTGACTTATTAAAAATTCTTCCTACTGTTGTATTTTATTTCCATTTAGTTTTTTATTCTGATAGTTCAAAAATAATGAATTAGAACATATTCTTTACTTAATTCACATGCTTTTCCTCAAACAATATTATTTGATATATTACATTTATTGTTTACATACTTACATGTGTTACATATTTTTATAATATAGATAGTTGTATATATTTATATATACATGTGTGCATTAACACCTTACAGTCTAAAGAAGGTTGTTTCTACTGAGTTCTCTTAAAAATCTGCCTATTTCATCCAAGATTTCCAGCCTACATCTCTCACATAAAAACATTACATACAAAATTCCAGATCCTGCAACATTTTCAGAGGAACTAAGTTGCTACAAAGAAAGACTACTGCTTTTGCAGCCCAGGTTGCCAGGGAAAGCAAAATGTGGTGTCTCCTGCAGTGCATTTCATGCTTAATGCCTTTGCTCTCAGATAGCAGAGCCCCTTGATTGACAAGAGGTGACACTATACCCAAGGACAGCTGCGTGCAGTCCACATTCACCACTGTGGAGCATGAGCAAAGATTTTGGGGTGTTGCATCTGACAAGTTCCAACCCTTCCCATGATGTAATGCCAAAAATATGCTGCTGATTGACTGTTTATATAGTTTTCTTGCCACATTTCTGCTTCAGAATGTTTCCAACTTCTTTTCTTAGGATAGGGAATTAAAGAGAAATAGAAAATCAGCAAGGCTACATCCATACCACACCTTTACCTCTTCCTCCTTTTGCTATTCCTGTTCTCATTACATCTTTCCACCAGAACTGAACCATGCACTCTGACACACCTAGATATTTTCTCAAAAAACACTTCCCTGATTTCAGTTCAAGGGTAATGTTTGGAGGGAGATTTCTAACAACTACAGACTTAGGTCTTAACAAAAACTAAATAACTACTAAAAAATAAATAATAAATTAATAATGCTCCTAAAATTGTTTAAGCTTCTAATTACTGAATTCTGAATTCCTGTGTCACCTAAACAGTTACTGTCAGTTCTGTGACTACAACTTCAATTGCTAAAACTTTTCATATTTTTGTAAGGTGTTTATTACCCTCCTTCTAATGGCCAAGAAATGAAGAAACAGCATTTGAGGGACAAGATATAGGAGGTATGACTGAAAACATGATAAAGAAGTGTCACAAGAAGTGAACAGAGCACAATTACCTTCCACACAAGTTTTCAAAAACCTACCCATTATCTTATGCATCAACAAACATTTACAAGGTGAGTAATCCCCACAGGCATTAATTTCTAGAACAAACATTAACTATTTATTAGCAACTTCTTCAGCCTATCAGCAGTGAAGGACACCAATTTATATGCCCGTACACTCAGACACATCCATCGTATATATTTTCACATATACACACACACACACACACTAGTTTAAAAACAGGTGTAAATAACCTTATGTCCCCAGCAGTCAATGTTTATACAATGCTCTAATTTATACTTGCAATTGTTGCTCAACTTCATGAAACATTTTAAGAACACAGTTAAATCAGCTTGGAAAGAGTAGTGTGACCATTTTTGTACACTGACTTTAGTAATGCTTTTAATGTACAATCTTTTTTAAAGAAATGATAAAAACATGGATATCAAAGCTTCTCTTGCAAGTGCAAAACAAAATGGAAAGAAAATAAATCATACCTTGAATAGTCAAAGACTCTAACAGTCAAAAATGAAAAGGTGTATCAAACAGGATTTTATGAAGCTTGCTCCAAGTCCACACTCAGTATTTTAACTGACAGGTGAATTACAGAATCAAGATTAATAGGGTAGTTAACACCAACCTGAAAAACCTACATGATGCAGTCAAAGAGAACTAGAATTTTAAAATATCTGGACAAAATTGAGAATTGCTGTACAAAATATAACATTATTTCCTAAGTGAAAGACTAATGGTCTACATCTGGACAGAATTCATCAACTACAAAAACATGGGACAGAAAAAAGCAGTTAGGCAGAAATGATCAGTAAATCACAAGCTGAGCGTGAGTCAGAGGCATGATGCTGCCTTTCTGTGCCGCACAGCACTGTGACACGAGCAGTATGGCAACAAGCAGCCGTGCCATGTCACGCAGCAGTCGTAAGACCTCAGCAGATTGCTGCGTCCAGTTCAAACAATACAATTAAAGACAGCAAGAAACATGTTCAGATAAACATAAAAAAAAATCTTACTAATAAGAGGTCTAGAATAATAGTGACTTGTTCAGAGAAACCAAAAGAACTAGGATGACTTAAGCTTACAGACAAGGCAGCTGACACAAGAAAATAACATCTTTAAATATGTAAAAGGTAGCTTTAAAGGAAAACTTTAATTATTGCTTTGTCTGATCTACCCAGGGCTAAGCACTATCAGTCAGCTGGCATACAGGAAGATTCAAGCTAGGTACCAGGAAAACATCCCATAAGCAACACTAGCATATCACTGGAACAGACTGCTGAAGTCTCCTTTTCAAGCAAGACGTGCATACATTTATCAGGCGGGACTTAGATTTAACCAGCTCTGTCACAGCAGGGTATAGTAGGTCACTATCAGTCTCATATTTTAGAATCTAAATACCCTTTTGATGATCCATTTAGTAATTACTCTGAAAATATTCTAACTGGATTTACTGCATCTGTTTATGTAGTTTAAAAGGTCCTAGCTGAAAGACAGTATTCTTGTCACACTGAAGATGACAGATGTTCATGCCGGAAGAGTCCATGAGATTTTCACAAAACCTAAAAGGGCCTCGAAAGGAGTGGCAAATAAAAAGGGGTGGCAGGAAACACTTCTTTGCTGTGAAAACCCATGGGATCCCACTCCATGACTTGCACCACTAGGCATTAGGCTTATTTTTCCTGCTACACCGCAGCTGCTCCAAACTAAGAAAGTCATCCTGCAGCAGATGATTACGAGTAAAGCATCCATATAATTTGAGTTTAGAATACTTTTCCATCCATTACCAGCTTTAACCTTGAAAGTTGGCAATACAGAACAGATACGTTCTATATTTTCATCTTGACAATGTCAGATGAAAATAAGGACTAAGCTGAATAAGAAAAACAAGAAAAATTTCTACAAGGAAAACGTTTTTTTTAAAAAATTAAACTACTCCTTTAAAAAGATCTGTGTTTGGTTTATTATAAATACATCCTTAAAGGCTACAACAAAAATACATAAATTAGGATAAGGTAGAGCTGCTGTAGTAAACCACATCCATGCACAGTAGGCATAATTTCTTCATTTAAGACAGAAAGCAGGAGCGCCTCTCTCTAAATCTTATACATATTATATATGTTTACAATATATTTACGTATTTTTCATTTAATGTCTTTCATATTTCATATCATATTTCCACCCTCCTTTTCCTACAATACCACTGAAAGGCTCATTTTGTAGAAGCAATGTTATTTTGCTTAGGTTAAGGACACTTAGAAATAGCTCTGTCCACTGAACTTGAGCTGTGAGATCCAGGTGTACCCGGGTCCAGAGTCTTTCATCTGTTTGTTTATCCTCCTAGAGCCTGAAAGAAGACATGAAACGTTTACTGAGATCAATAAGTTTTTTATCTCGCTGCTGCAAAATCCAAATTGTTCAGTTTGGATTAATTCTTAGTACCTTTTTCCAGAAAATAACCATAGTTAAATGAAAAAAATACAAGATACCGCCTCATGTGTGAGATGGTTATATTTTCCATGAACAAAACCATATTAGGGGAATGGCACTCTCCCATCACAAGGCAATATTGTTCCACTATTTATTTTTGGCATATAAGACAGAAAATGCCTACAAATCCTGAGCTATGGGCCACTCATTTAAGAGTTGGACTTGATGCTTGAGGGTCCCTTCCAATTGAGAATATTCTGTGATCTTAAAAACCATCAAACATAAGCATTTACGAGGCAAAATAATCTTTCTCTTTTTTTTTTTAACTTCAAACCCAACTAATCAGAAGTGGCAAAACGCTGCATATTTTTAATCAAAGATGCTTCATTACACTATGTTAAGTTAACTTAGAGATTATACAGGATACTAATACTTCTGAAAGCCCTAAAATACATTTTTAAAACAGTATTAATTTATTCAAAATGTATTTCTATGAATATTTTTCTCAAAAACATTGCTTTAAACAGCTAGGTTTATAAAGAACCACCAGCAGCATTTGCTAAATTCTTTCCTTCTTTATTCAGAATACTTTCTACTGAACTAGTTAGGATTTAGCCCTACCCGTCATGTAGGAGAGTCGTATAATGATCCCTTTATACTCATTAACTACCATTTTAATGAGCTATTACTACCTCGGGACTCAGAAGACCTCAGGGAGGTTGTAACATGCCACTACCTATATAGTAGTTCACTGCTGAGTTAGTACATAGCCTCCTTGAAAGAATATAGGAATGCCCTCCATCGCTCTCTTTAGTTCAGATGCCAGCATCAGCAAAATTTCTGCATGTAAGACACATCCCAGCCTAAAACTTAAAAAGCATCTTAGTTAAACTCCAATAAGCTTCACAGATTACTACAACTATAGCCCACCACGTTGCTAAGTGTTTGCACACTCCTAACTAAATGAGCTGAAATCATGAGCATTGTCTGATCACTTCAGCTTGCAGTTTGATGGCATAAAATACTGCAAATCTGATCAAGGGCCAGGGTAGGAGGCAGGGGACACTATCATCACAAAAGGCTATTGGCAAAATCTGCCAGAATCTGTATGAGTCATAAATTAGGCAGCTGATGTCCAAAGGTACATGAATAAAGAAATCAAGTTTAGCATTAGAAACCATCAATTAAAATTCACACAGAAAATTAATTTATAAGAAACTGAAGTCTAAATAATGTTAAAATTTTTAAATTGCAGACATATTTTAAAAGCCACATATATGCAATGACTTACAATGGGACTGACTTGAAGACAGCCTTTCCCATTCAGTAGCAGTTGTGTATGGAAAACTGGTATTATGGTCTCTAAAAATGCTTTTCTGACATTATTTCTAGTGTGAATGAGCCAAATAATCCTTAAGGAAGATAATTACCTCTCAAGATTTATGGCAGCTGTGGGCAGATACTGTTACACACAGTGGCACGCTGTTCCCTGAATTGCCCTCTGTGTTTTTCAAATCAAAATGTTTTAACTGAACCACACAGGTCCAGGCAAGGGGTAGAAAGATCCCTTCCCTGCTTTTCATAAAGCCACTCCCTGCAAGCTGCTATTGCTCTTCTCCTCCTGTACTTTGGAGGCATCTTTTGCATCAGGGAAGGAGGGAGGGGTAATTCCTGCTGATCCATAAACTGCCTCCTCTCTTGGTCTGCAAGAGCTGAACCAGACTCTGAAACACAGACAAAGACAAAAAGACAGACAGAGCACAGGTCCGCACAAGGAACAGAAGCAGAGAAGATGAGCATGTAGGAAAAACTTCTGATCTGCTTCAAGCGTTCTTCAGTCAGCTGAGTGCAAGACCCAACAGCCTCACCACTACAAAAGGCAGTGGGTATCAACCACATGTATGTGCCTGCTTCTCTCCTGCTACATAAAAATAATTCAGCAAAAACAAACCTTTTGTGCTGGTAAGATAGACAGCTCACCACCACCCTCAGAGCACTGAGAAAGGCACAGTAACAGCCTTTACTCAATACTCGCCCTGAAGTCATGACTGGAATGCTCCCTGCTCCTGAGAGAAAAATAAGTTAAGGAGCTAATGTAAGGTCAGTTTTTCAGCCACTGATATTCACAGGTAGCAGTTGTATGGATTGTATTTACCTTCCATCATGTGTTGTCCACCCATAGAGACCTGTCCTCAAGTCATAAAAGCAGAGTTGAAACTGAACTACTAAAGAAATCTCTTGCCTCCTCCATTTTCATTTTCATTTCCCTACCATCATAAACAGAAGCAGCAGATAAGAGGCATTTTAATCTGACACCTGTATTTCAAGGATACCTCCTTGTAATCCTGGAAGGATTACAGATAGAGCAGAAAAGAGAGCAATAGCCAACTGCAGGATCTACAAAGTTGGGTGAGCAGAGCTGGTAGCAAGACAAACACTGCAAAAGGCAAAAAAAACCAAAACCTTTTTCTATGCCTGTGAAAAAGAAGAATCAGCAGTTGAGTGAGCAGCAATAAAAACTTGGCACAGGTTACATCCCATTAACTGTGCTACCAGAAATCTGTTTCAGCCAACTGACTGTAGAAGATAGTGGCTACTACCAATTCATTACTCGCCTCTCAACATGGGATTACAAGATTATCAGCATCAAAGATAACAGTGAAAGTTGGGAGATAAAACTGTGGTCCTGCTGCCTAAAGTTAAAAACACTGGCAAATGTAGAATATTTCAAATGCATGAGGTAAGATCTAAATGAAGCAAGGATAAATTCTAGCGGAGGTTCTCATCCAAGTTTTCAAGTTACGAAGTCAAAACTAAAAGAAAAATCAACATACAAGCAAAAATATAATCAGTAGGTAACTTTTCACACAGGGGAGAGGAAAAGACTGCAAGTGCACAGCTACTCCATGGAAATAAACATTCGGTTACTGACAATCCTGCAACTAATAATAATACACCAAAACTGCATTTCCCTCTGTGTCGTAATCCCAGCCATGGAATCTAATCCATGGAGAGCTTTTTCCCATCGGATGCAATTTCTTCTTCTCATAACTTGTCTTTTTTAGAAGGAAGAAAACTCAAACACAAAACAGTGTGTCAGAAATACTGCAAAACTAGTTCTGAAAAAAAATCTGTCCCAGTAAGTACCACTGGACAACAAAACAGAAATACCTACTTCAAAGTAAAGAAACCAGGAAGCAGGAAGAAAGGACTAAAATTAATCTGTTTCCTCATCTAGCTCCCCTCTCCCAATTAGTACCACACAAACCCTGAGCCAACTTTAAGCAGATGCCAGCAGTGGAAGCTGAATACCCTGTGGCAATGTCAACAAAGAGCAAACAGACCTAAAGGATAAAAATATTTGGTCGAGTTCTATTTTTGTTCTTTGAATCAAGAGAAAGGGTGAAACTTTTTAACTAGCAAGAGATGATTTAAAAATAATGAGATTACTAAAGATAAGAGATTAATTTGAATTTAATTCCATCTAAAATGTAAACTTACAGTTTACAAATGAGGAGATAACAGCAATAAGATAAAGATAATACATGCTACAAACAATAATGAATATTCCAAACAAGTAAAGGGGATTTGGGAAGAACTCAGTGACTCCCTGAAAAGGAACTCCAATCTGTTGTCGTTACTCCTGCCACTCTGTCTTTATGTGACACACAGAAGATGACTGCTTACCCAGCGAGCAGCTATTCAGGATTTTTCTCCACGCATTTATTCATGTGTGGCCTCATCTGCTCGTAGCTGCATGCTGTTCAAACACGTTTGGAAGCTGTGGTTATTTGTTTTGAAGCTCATCTCAATGGCATCAGAGTTCATCAATATTATTCACCATTGTAGTATCTTAAGAGATAAGAGACTTGCCTTTTCTAATATATCATAAAATGAGGCACAGATTAAGGTAAAATCCTCAGTAATCTCAGGTGCTAATTTTATCTCAGATATTTTTCCAAGTGCTCAGTATCAAACAACATTTCATACATTCAGGGCACAGACTTTAATCGACTTCAGCTGCAGCTGCAAACCCTCAGCATTTCTGCATATAAGGCCCTAGTACCTCAAATTATGCAACCAGAATTGCAGAGCACTCAAATCAATTAGTCACCACTTGGGAAAAGTTTCGTTTAAACGACTTGCCGAGCATCACATAGGAATTCTGTGGCAGAGAGAGGAACAGAATTCAATCCTCAAGGGCACTTTTCGTCTGACTAGCTTACCCATGAAACCATTTCCCCCCCGCCCCTCACAATCTTCTCTCCCACTCTCTACATACCCTCAACATCTACAGGTTAAACAGTTTTTACAGACAACAGTCTCTTTCAATACATAAGCCTGAAGCTGCACTGGGGCCAGATCTCTCCCTGAGCCTGAATAAGTAAAGACCCTGTAGAATATAATGTAGTGAATTAAAAATCATCACAATGAACAAGCACAAAGAAACCAAATTAAGATTTGAGACATTCTGAAAACTGACATTCCCTAATTTTAGAGTATGCAGCCCCAGAAATTTGTTACTAGTCTTTTAAAAGTGATATTAAGGTACATAGCTGCTGTACAAAAAGACAGAGAGAAACGAGCAGATTCGGAGAGGAAAAAAATTTGCATAACCAATGCAGACCTGCTTTATAATACTAACTCACAAGCAGTGTTTTCCCCCCTTCCTCTAAATAAACCTCAGCTCTCTGAAGAATCATTTTGATTCTAACAGGCTCCACTAAAATGCAGAACAATCTGGCTAGTTAACAACTTGCCTATTTCAAATTACAAATCTCAAAAAAAACACAACATAAAATGGGTTTTTCTTTAAAAGTGTAAGGTTTCTGGGAGATGTGCAGTAGTACTGGTGCCTGCACAGAACTAAAATCCAGAATAGCATTGTAGAAAGGCTTGGAGAAATCAGTAAAGCAAGGGCATCAATTAGGAAAAGGAGACTGCATTTGAAGCAGATGAGCCTGGGTGTAGACAGACAGGTCTGAAACAGTGTCCATGCAACTGATGATTCTCTTACAGGAAAATGTACTTTTTGTCTCAAAAGATCCAGAAGTATTTACCAAGCACTTTCTGCAAGGCTTATGTATTTTTATCATCTATGACAAAGCAGCCCAAGACCCAGCACCTTGCAAAATCTCTCAAGTATAATGAAAGTAATGAGATTCTAAAAATAATGGCAGCCACAGGAGAAAGTGGTAAAGTGTTTTAATTACTAATTCTCTTATGGTACAACAAAGTTCTTCCTTAATAATTCAACACAAGTTCCCTACACGAGACGATGCTCCAGAAAAACAAATGGAGATGTCTACTTTTAGATCACAAATAACTGTAACAATTTTTTAACCAAATTATTTGGAATCTTACTGAAATATAATTTGTGAGGCACATTTGAGAAGTTATAAATAATCCAAAACATTTTACTTATGTGAATGGCATTGTTAGCATTTATCAATACAAGACATACAATACTTTATATTGCTTCCATCTCAATTTATCACATTAAATGTAAAACATTTGACTAAGAGTTGAAAAGCTTTATATACCCTGGAAGACAAATTCCACTAAGCTGAATAAACATGACTAATCCAAGCCTTTCCTTAAAAGAGCCCCAAGACTCTAAGTATTGTAGTAATATTTTTGAAACAATATTTCATGTATTTTATATTTGATGCAGTTTTTCTTCACTATATAAAAGACCAACTTAAAATACAGAACTATACTATTCCCATATGGGGCAATCAGAATTTGTATGCAATGAAACCAACACTGTTTTAAATACTGAAATTCCAACTACACAAGTTTTCAGGAATCCTAGGATTCATGCATGTACTTACATGGGAGTCAAATGTGGCTGCTGGCTAAATAATGATGGAATTATGCTCTCAAACTGATAGGCATGCTAAACTTTAATTCAATAATATTTACAGATCTTCATTCAGACTCATATCTATGAACTGAAAAATTTTGCTTTCTTTACAAAATAAGTCTACAGATATCTTTAGCTGGGTCTGAAATATAAGTGGGTATTGAAAAAGGGCTCACAAAAAACTTGCTGTTCACTGCATAAATAAGTTGCAACAGAAATTCAAATTCTGAAAGGCTCTCTTATGGCAAAATAAAACAAAACATGAAGATTTAATTCTATGAGCAATTTTAAATTTTTCATATTTAATCTGTTCTCACTAAACACTTCAACAAGAAATGCTAATCATTACAGTTTTCTATAATCAGTTTCATCAGGTTTTTTTCTATAATTCTATAACTATAACAAAGTAAAATAGAATTGTTTAGAAGATCTCTTCACTGAAGGGAAACTTCCGATTCTTTTCAGTAATTCAGTGGCTTTGAATAGCAAATCTCCTCTAGCACTATTAAAAAGCAAGTAAATGTGAAAACCAACTCCACAATAGTCTTCAGTTCTGGTAAGGCATTTTTATTAATAAATTACAAAGTAAAGTATTGCCTACATAAAGGGAATTAATTATTTGTTCAAAATACATCAGAGTAAACATAGG